GGAGCAAAGTGCATCAAAACTAGCGCGCGATCACATCCAGTGAAGGTGGTTCAATAGGACCAATTGTTTTATATTCAGTCAAACCAAAGGTAGCCTACTGTACCGTGGTCCAGTTAGGTCAGCTCCCCGTCGAATAAGAGCACTACATTGCCGACCGTTGAGGTGTGTTGGAAATTCGAACTGAAAAGGAACAGCAGGTGGTGATCGCACAACGTGAGTCGACCAGCGTTTGCTTTTATATCGAACAGGGTGAAATGACACCCATCTCCTATAGAAAGGCTTCTACTGCGCTCAATTTTCCCACTCGTTCATTAAAACAGCCCAACAGAAGTATGTCGGGTCGGTCAGACGAAATCGGTTGACACCTTTGTGTGTCGGGACAGCAGCTGGTTGACAAATATACTGATATGATGAATTAACATCCTTTTTACTCCTCCAGGTATTGAGTGCACCTTAGGGTCGCATCGCACACAAACGACTGTTGGCGGGAATCGAAACAGAAATTTAGGCCCGTTTTTCTTTTCTGCTTGATGGAATACTTATTTCGCGCAGACCTACCAAACGGGCTCTGCTGATAAATTACCTCAAATACAGATACGACACACGCAGGGAGCTTATATGACTAGGAACCTGGATTCTTGTCATCAATGAGCAGTTGACAGCAGTCGATAGAGGCCATTGTACGCGAAAGACACGTTAACATGTAAGCGTTCCCGTGGAGCAATGCACATCAACCGCAGGCGAGGGCGTCTACCGGCAAGAGTACGGGAACAACATCCGACCTACCTGAACCCTTGGTGTAATTGAAACTATTACAAGTATTTTTATTACACACGAAGTGATTTACAGCAAAAGGGATAAAACCCATAATCAATGATATACTGCAAGCGGGAGGTGTGTGGGAGAGCATTCAAGTAAGAATCAATTTGTTAATCCTGCTTTTGAAAAGGGCAAGGTTATAAGAGCTGGGAAACACGGAAACAGGAAGTGTTCCGCAATTTCGCAGTCCTCGGGAAAGAAGAAGATTGAAGGATAGAAGTCCGATATCTGCGGACAGAAACCTGATAAGTGTGATTGCCCGTCTGAGAATGAGATGGACGAGAGAAGGTCAATGGAAGGGGAACCGCTGAAGCGAGTTTGAAAGAGCAGAAACCAAAATAGTAACGATAGAAAAGAGACAACGAAGCAACTGCCCAACGATGGGAAAGCGACTGCAGATTGGAAGTTCAAGACGGTTCGTCGATCAGCCGGATGGCCTTACGTTGAACACGTTCGAGGAGAGAAAGAGCGGAGTACGAAGCCCCACCCCATACATGACTGCAGTATTCAATTGTCGGGCGGATTTGAGGTTAGTATAAAAGAAGGTGCTTGGGTGTAAGGAAACGCTTTGCGCGGAATAGAAAACCAACTTGGCGCGCAGCGCGAGAGGCAAGTGTAGAAATAAAAGGGGACCAACAGAGAGAAGAATTTATGGATAAACCCAGGAGGAAGAGAGAACTTGTGGAACGAAGGAGCAGGGAATCAAAAATTTATTGGATAGAGGACACGTTTAAGTGCCGTCGTTTCACATTCAGTCGAATTCATCGCACAGTTAGTGTGAATAAAGCACTTCGGCCTCGCTACCGTGTTCGGAGTTGTCGATCCAAGCTGACTAACAATCGCATCCTAGCCACCGCATAGGCGGTTGAAATTCGTCTACATAATGCCCCATATGCGCCCAAAAACAGTTTGTGAAGTCACTCAGCCTCCCATGGCCATCGGCACCCGTCCCCCTCCCAGTCAAAACCACACGAAGAACACGGAACAGGCTTAAAAAAAGATCCGATAACAAGATCAACCACTTCCGGATTGTGAAACTGAGACAGATAGCATAGATATCTCTATTTGACTATTCACTTATTTTTTTTCTATGCAGAAATTATGCTCGGTAAAATGTGATGTATCAGCCAGTTGGTTAGTCATGGAAAACAAACTTGTTCGTGGAACGTTTCTATCGAGTCCCTTATAGCCTTTCTATCCTTAGGGGAAGGAACTCAAGGTGCGCAAGGTTCTGCCTGTCATTCTCTTCGCTATCCTTCGATCATTCCAAAGCATGACTTTCAGTTCACATACCGTGTAGATGGAGCTATAAGAGCCATCCTGCAACTCCTGAAACTGTTGTGGAATCGATGCGAAATAAGCTTAAACACTAAGCTTCGGGGTTGTCAGGCTTCTGTCCGCCCCATCCTCACTTATCGTTGTGAAACCTGGCAGTTCAGAGTTCAAGACACAAGGAAGCTCGAAGTCTTTGATCATTGATACTTACGCCGCATCCTGGAGAGATCGATTTCCAATGATGAGGTTCGACGGCGCTGCTTGAACATTAACAACGCCGGCGCCTTCAGTGGTTTGGCCATGTGCTCCGAAGGCCCAACACAACCCTCTCGACGGGCTGTAGCCCCCACACCGTGCCGTGGATGACTTTGCCGACTCAGTGGTCAACTTAAGACCTTGATTAGTGCGATTAATAGGGATTCGGAATTACCGGGCCCCCAATCCACACATGGAATTTGTAACTGGAACCAGAAGTGGGTTTCACACTGCACCAACCTTGCTACCTATAGTCATGCATGGGCCGTCCTCATTAGAAACATCCAGTAAGCCGACTTATCTTTCCGCAGGAGTTAGTCGATCAAAAGTAAAAGTAAAGTAAGTTTACATACCATCATTAGTCATTATTTATCAACCGAAATTCCCCATGTTGGAGTGCAGATGAGAATATAGCTATTCGATACAATCTATGAAAAATAATTAAAATCTATTTATCAACAGTTTCCTCAAGAAAAATACCTGAATATTCAAGGCACCAGAAAAGATTTGGTTAAAGGAGAGCCGAGTGCAGGCCAGAAACCACACGGTGAATTTAAAAATCAAGCCGAAACTTACTGTCTAAAGTTACACGAAAGAAATCCGAAAGAATCAATCCACGTTCCAGATCTTTAGTTACTTGTTCCTTTCGGTAGCCTCCGCAAAGATATATATTTCTTAAATCGGAGGAAGCAAACAACAAACATGCTGAGCGGGGCGAAGGGATATCGCCCGAAATCTTCAATAATGTCCATCGACGAGATACCAGATCGAACTGCCATAGATCATTAAAGTATACGGTCTTCCTTTAATTAAAAACAGGACAGATTGGCCAAAACTGGCGAGATTAAACCAACCTGCCGGTATCACTGAATCCACCAAAAAGTAGGAGCGATTGTTTCCATAACAGCATACGATGCCCACTTCGTGCCGATGGAACAGAACCTTCACATCTGAGCATAAGATTAAGTATGGAAATTGGATCATACTGCACAAGCTCCCATTTACGAGTCCTCATTCGGAAACACCATAAATCTTTATAGTGGTAAAATCGTACTTGTGTAGGGGAGGCGTATTCACCGCCAAATACCCAGATACTGGCTGGAATGGAGTTGGTTTTCACATACACGGCCTAATAATGGACGATTCGGTCAGCAGAGTATCAGTGACGGAAAGAAATCAACCACCTGATGTCCCGATCGAGGAGGTGGACAGTTAGGCGACTTTACCATAGTCCATGTAGAGTCCTTACAGTTATACAAAAACACATCGGAATACATGGTGATCTAAGGAGGTAATAACATCTAATCACACAGGTCTACCTTTTTACCATCAAAATACTCTCCACCAAAAATGACGAGTTCTCCCGTATCTGGTGAGGCGACAAGAGAAAAATGAGATCTAAAACAAGAAATTAATGCTATGTTGTGAAAGTTACCTTGGAGTTGGTGGTCCCGTGAGAGTGCAGATCACTTCTGTTAGCTTTTGTTGTTCACGATGAAATTCTTCTAGCATCTCCTCGATAGACTGCTCTTCTGTGCACTTTTCCGCCTTTATCAGCCGTTTTTCTAGTTTCTTCTGTGCCTTGCCAGAGGTTTTTTCAGCTCCTTTGCCTTTCTTGGACTTGTCTTTTTTCCCCATCTTGAATAACCTGTGCTCGGAATAAAGACGAAACAAATACGGGTGTTTCTTTTGAGTTACACTGTCATAATCTGAAATCACTTTTTAAAACACCAACAGTAAGGTTGAAAACTGATTTCATGTACATCGGGATACAGAGGAGCGAACTTCGTTAATCGTTGCCAAATTCTCAAGGTAACAGTGAAAAGGTACAACATGGATAGGGTTTCAGCTAAGTTTTTACAACCATTAACCATGCACTTTAATGCGCTGGTTTTGGTTGCTCTCTTTTGGCCGCGTATTTAGATGAGCAGAATGATTGCAATATTGAGCGCAGAATCAAAGAGAAAATAGAAACTCATATAAACTGCAGTTGCAAGAATATTGAGTAGATGCACGAGAGTCATTGTTTGCGACACTCAATCAGGTCACTCAACGTCTCTTTTTTATCACACTTTCGTGTGATGAACAGCAGACGGGGTAAACCCCATGGTCACGAAAACCTGTTGTTCAGTCTTGGAAACCGGTAATCTAAGCCCCGGGACTTGGAATGGTGAACCATCTAAAGCCCCGATAGGATAGGTGTGGAATGGAACCGGAAGACAGAAAAGCTGCCTACCACCAGGGTTCGGTGGCGGTGGTGGGGCTCGAACCTTGGACCATAGGGTCTAAAGCACGCCTGTGATAGCGATCAAATTATTGCACCACCACCACCAGAAACCGGTTGCCATGACCTTGGGGTCCCCATCCAGAGGCCCTAACGGCACGGATGTGACCCAATGTCATGGTTGGGGTTTTCATGCCAGGTCTTAGTTTGACCACCCTCAAACTTTTTCCATCCGCTGCCTGCCGCGACAAACATCAATAGCCACCACAATCTATATGGTGACATGCGCAGCAGATGTCCCAACCATCGTAAACTATGGAGGTCGACCACTTGCTCGAGTGGACGACCGTGGTTACCTAAAACTCTACGCCGAACCTCAGCATTGCTTGTCCGGTTTCTCCGACATAATCGTGCAATGCGGTGTTCCAACATAGACAATCCATGTTTATCCTGTTCCCGTAATGACTAGGGTTCTGCACCGTAGAGTAGGACTGACCGAACTGCTGGAGCATACGCTCGACAGCCGGATGTCACGATGGTGCCGCAGATGTCTCAAGGTGGCCAATGCCAACCGAGTAATCTGTATGCGAGCCGAAACTTCATCTGCCAGGTGGGATATAGATGCCCAAATAACAAGTTATTTACCTCCATAACTACTTCCCGGTTGGAGTCAGTGGGGGCTGGGCTAACCTAGTCTTGATGTTAAGATAACTGGATTGGGCATTGCAGGAAATAGAGAGGCAGTTAACAGCGAAACCTAATCCTGAATATCTTGAAATATCAGCTACTGGGGGCTATGGGTGGCGAAGAGATATGAGAGATTATCGATACAAGGGGTGCGCGAAGCAGATTTGGGAATAGTGGTAATACGGGACTTCAAACCAAACACCCAGTGGGTCATCGTCAATATCATACAGCGAGATACAGTGAAGCGAAATTCAGTGGTCGCTGTCGAACTCGCAATGCACACAACGTTAGTGGTAATGTCTAAGGTGTACAGGGATTGGACCTATTTTGAGGGAGAGCGAAGAAGGTGAACCTCTGTGGTAAACATGGACTAAAGGTCGCGAACAACGCCAGAAGGTAGCTATTTCGTCTGTGCGACGGTGATATGCAGAACCCTCCCCCCTGGATGGTTCAGTACGGATCAACAGCTACAGGACGAAGCGTCTATGCTTCTTCGTNCGACGGATTGCAGTTCACCAGAAATGAAGGATGAGTCCTACAAGGACCTCTCTCAACTGCCCCAAAGTACTCAGTCAACGGATATCGTGGCAGTCGCTGGAGAATTCAATGCTCAAGTGGGATTCCTGCACGAATCAGAAAGGCTACTTGGTTGTTCACATGCAATCTCAGCTAACCGGATAGACAACGGAGAACACTTACTTCAACTTTGTGCTGACCACGGACTGCTTCTGTCAGGCACGAACTTCTCGCACAAGAAACGTCACCGTCTTACATGGAGACCGGCAACTTCTTCACAGCGCTGGACTCAAATCGACCACATCACCATCAGCCACCGCTGGCGAGGATCCATTAAAGATTGCCGCTCTTACTGGCCAACACCCGTGGACACGGATCATACCCTGCTACGAGCGCGATTCTCTTACATCTGATAAACAGCCGCATAAAAGCCGCCGAAAACGGATTTCCACAATACAGTGTCAGAAATGGTTGTAAATTGGCCTTCGAAGCGAAACCATCAGCCGGAGGACTCACTAAACACTGGACGACAATCAAGGAAACGCTCAAAACGTCGATCAAAACAACGGCAGATTCTGGCGCATGACCAAAGAAAAAACGATGGATCTCCGCGACCTCGGTTGCCCTGCTAGACGCTCGCAAAGGCATTCCTTCGGATTCAAAATACAACACCGCGCGCAAATCCCTCAAACGCCAGCTCATTAAGAGTCTTAGGAATGACCGCGAGAAGTGGTGGGTAGGGAAATGTAGAGAAATGAAGAAGGCTGCGGCTATCGGTAATAGTCGCAATCTTTTTTGTTTAACTAAGAATACAGGCCCAAGGAAAGTAGGCGTAAGTGAGGTAGCTAAGGAGCCTGACGGCACATTGATTCATAATGAGGAACGTCGTCTTGAACGTTGGGCAGAACATTTTAAGGCACAGTTCGGCTAGTTTCCATCGACACAAGACCTCTCCCCCCCCTCCACCCGGTTCAACTGTGCAACTATTGTCAGTTGACATTAGTCCTCCATCTGAAATGGAGGTTACCGGGAAATAAGTTACCTCAAACGGCATAAGAGGTCCAACCCCGACGGGTTGTCCCCATCCGTTTTTGAGGATGGAGGTCTAGCCTTAGTTTTGGAGTTAACAAAAAACCTGGGTTCAGTGTGGGAGAGGGAAGAGGTTCCAACTGAATGGTTTGAATCGGTGATCATACCGATGTACAGGAAAGTTGAGAGATCCTCTTGTGAAAACCACCGAGGAATTGATCTAATCAACATCGTCTCTCAACTTCTAGCTAGTATTAAACTCCGTCGATTGTTTGCTGCACGTGAACGGTGTATGTTTGAGAACCAGGCTGGTTCTAGACCTGGTCGAGGTTGTATCGATCAGATTTTTACTCTTCATAAAATTCAAGAACACAGACACTCCTTTCGTAGACCCATCATTTCTATCTGAAAACGGCTTTCGACTCGGTTATCCGCCCTAAACTCTGGCGCTGCTTCGCTCTGAAGGGTGTGCCCGAGAAGTTTATTTCAATCTTACAATCCATTTATACTAATAGCCGAAGCCGAATCCGAGCTTACGGCACTTTTTCACCCGAGTTGACTACCGAAAGTGGTGTTCGACAGGGTTGCCCTCGCTCTCCTTTTCTATTTTTTTTAAATAAACACGAAGTGATTCACAGCAAAAGGGATAAACTCCATAATCAATGATTGTTAGGTAAAAAGACTATTTTTACCTAAAACTGCCTATTTTTCGAGTAATTTCAATCAGGGGCATCTCGAATCAATACTAATCTCGCGGAGATTAATCAATAACATTGCGTCATACGGAAATATTCACTCTGTCCGTCCGATCCGTGACCTATGACCGATTGAACGTTGCTAATTGTGTATTTGATTGGCACAATCTTTTTCTTGCATTAATCGATGCTACTTTGAGTCACATATAAGCATCAGAGTAAAACTTGTAAATTGACTTGTTTTCCTGTGTGTGTCAAGTACACGTTCGCAGTGCACTACCTGTGTTCTTGCTTACGTAGTTGGTGTCCAATCTGTGCTGTGATCGTACACGTGGGGCTAGACGATTAGTGTGGCGGTTGAGGCACGTGTGTTCCTTGTGTGTCGTCGTGTGATATCTTGTTGTGTGCACATTGTGATCAATCGGGATTCGAAAACAACAAT